TTAACCATTGAGTCACAGCCGATTTATAATGTACAACCATATTATTCCTAGCAATAATAAATATTCACTTCAGCGAATTCAGCGTCTATAGAAAATCCTTCCACTAGCAAGGCCCCGAGGTAATACCCATAGATACACAAGTGGACAGTTTCGCAAATGGCTAGAAGGTATCTAATGTTGGAAACAGAGATGTGTTAAAATACTCCCTCGTATTTTCTATACCACTTCTCGCCGAGACTCTCAAGAGACTGGGTCTTCCGCTGATGTGCGAATAGCCTTGTGGCGAAATGTATAAATCCGCTATAAAATAAACCTTTAAAATAAATTGAACGCTATACGCGATTATAAATAGATATTTCTACGTTGCAAACTCTATGACCTACTGAACTTTTAAAATCAAATATGGTTTGCGGATAAAAAGGATTAATAAAATAATATTAACGAACGTGAAACATCATTTTAAAAAGTACTATTATTTGACTCGACTGTAACTCGTTAAAACGTGGTTGGTTTTTTATTCATTTTCGTTCTTATATTGTTTAAAATATTGTTGTAATATAAATGTTATTGGTACATTTTGTATATACAAAAGCAAATTTGTAATTGCATTGCCATAGTGCTTTAATAGGGGAATAAAGGTTTGGCTTTTCAGCAGTTTTATAAAGTGCGTTACAAATATTGCATTATCTGTCGAATTCGTTTTGGATATAATTTTTAACTAAAATAACAATACGATTAGAAATTATATTTCGCAGCTATTAGTCAATTATTAGATAAGACAAATATAAGCATAGTTAAACGACTTAATTGGTTATTTTTTAGTACTTTAGTTATTTTTAACAACATTTATAGAAAACTCAACCTAAATATATTTTTGTATGACAGATGAGGATGAACAAACCTGTAGTTCATCTCATGTGAAATCAGTGAAATAACCCGCCATGTTACTAAACAAGATGTGCTGCCAACCCATATTAGACTTGGATATTTAGAAGTCTATAGAGTGAAAGCGAATCTGTGGACGGTTTATAACCAGAAGATCAATATTCCTAACAACTCAATTAATCGTTAGGATTAATAATGATTCTGGGAAAATTGATTATAAGAAGCATGTTCGCTTGGCAGGAGTCAAACACACGTCCCGTTGCTTATTTATTAGCCATACATTGTAAGTGTATAGAAAAAACGCACGGAACCTTGAATTTGTTTTACATATATCCCGCCCTTTATTCGCAGACGTTATTTCACTTTAACAAATCTTATATATAAATATCAAGCACCAAGAATTAATTCTTGTAATACGTTTAATATGACTGTGGGAGATGGCTCACCGCAAGGTGCAACTAAGCCCGGTGTATTCTCGTCTCCCAACAGAGCCACGTGCCGCCACTTAGCGCTCACGAAATAAACTTCTCACTAAATCTCGCAACAAACCTTATTGCGAAAGAAATAAAGATCAAAATATCTTGTTCGAAAGCTCTAAACAAAATAGTCGAGATCCCAACAGACAGCTCCACTTCAGAAGCTTTCCTACTAGGTATTAGAATTGCCTCGACATGTACAAAAATAGTGAATCGAGGCGTCTTGCAAATTGAATTGTACATGAACAAAGTGCCAAGATTTAGGAACATCGTTGGGGATAAATTTATAAATTTCGCTGCGAGTTCGAGATATACTTTTAATCGTGAATTTACTTTAAAATTGACAGCCTAATAGTGCTACAAGACTGCAGATCGCGAGGACTGCGGTTCGAATCCCAAGTCAAATTTTTAGTCGGTTTTTTTAAGAAGATAGCACCAGCTCAGCCTAGTTTGTTGCCAGGATAGAAGAAATACTCTCAATATAAATGATAACAACAGACATAGGTCTATAAGAGAGAAGATCTGTTTTCAAATATATGACGTTAATATGCTTCACTTCAAGAAAAAATCAAAATGATGCGTAATACGCTACATATAGAGGCCAAAACAAAACTCCATGCTAAAAAAAATATTTTTTTGTGCTCGTAAAACGCGAAATAAATTAGTCTTAACTTATTTGAACGTTTTAATTTATTTTTAGCGTCCGTGTAATCTAAATTAAAAATAAGTTATTCAATAAAGTCCGCGTTTTAAACCGTTAATAGTGGTAATTCTAAATGTGTGCTCGCGTGAACTAAATACAAAACTTGATAGGTAAACTAATATATTTCGCGTTTTACCACGTAAAAGTGTTTTATTCAAATGTACTATTCGCGTAAACTATAGACTATACGCAAAACTTGGCGTAAAAGCGATCATTTATGATTCACGCGATCCGCTTTAGACACCGCGGGTCGGGAGTGAAATATAAATAGAACTGCGTATATGCAAAGTGATAGGTGAAATTTTCACGGCGTGACACGCACGGCTGAAGAAATGCGTCCCAAAGCACCACGTACTACATAGCTCGGGCAAATGGAATCCGCCCCACCGAGATTGGTTCCACTAGTTTTTTTTCTCCTTATGAACTCCTGTCTCACGTGTCGTTTTACCTTCGGTAATTGCATTTGCTTCAAGCTTCGGTTGCGTTTTGAACGAGAATTCCACCAAGACACGGAAACTTTGATTATTACATTGCGAATACTTTGACAGAGATGGTTTCACGCTGTTTGAGTTTCATGAAAACTGCTACTGTATCTTTTGGGATGGTAAAAAGAAAGTTGTATAGTGGCGAATATAATTATATGAAGAAGGGGACAAGACTTCTATCGCTACATAATAACATGAAACCTGCACATATACATACAATAAGAATCTTTACTAATAAGCTGAATAGTCTGAACGCGCTAATCTCAGGAACTAGTCCAAATTAAAACATTACAATTACATTGCGCGAGAGGTGCATGTATCAATAAGGTGAAAAAATTCGACGATGAGGTGTAGGACTCGGTAGCTCAATTGGTAGAGCAACAGCACGGAAAGCTGACGATGCCGGTTCAAGTCCTGCCCGAGTCGAAATTTTTTTTAATTTATTTTCGATTTTTTAATTATTTTTGTGTTGCGTGCGCTACGAAAAGGTTCAAAAAACCATAAAACATGAATAAAATGATCATTTTCTCTAGGTGATCTAAAAAACTGTCCATGACTCTATATGTCACCTTTAATATTAACTTATTTAAAGATGAAACGTCATCACGTTATGTGTAACATATAATTTAAAAAGAGTAGAAAGTTTGCAATAACAAATTTTGAGACCGAAAATAACTATTCTACGTAGACAAAGTCGCAGGCGCAGTTATTGTTTAATAATGCGTTTAATATAAAAAACAAATGTAAATATTTCATACGCACTCCTAAAGCCATTGACTTTAGCTTAATTATTATTTTTTTGTCACGGTCGTAAATAAAATAAAATTGCTTTTAAAGGATTATTCTCGAATAATGGGTAAATTAAAAGGGCGTCTATATTTCATCTGAATTAACAGCTTTACATTAAATCGCCCTTTACCATTTTCATCGTGTGATTTATGAATATATTATCTCACAAAAAATAACAAAGTTCCGATGTGTTTTTATGTAATGTATATGCCATGCCTAAAACAATATTTTGCAATGCTCTCATTATACGTTCGTAGTCCATTTACACCGTTAAGCACATCTCATTCCCAATATCTCGTCCATAATTTTTATCGTAAGTGATAAAAGATGACGCGACAAATACACAGCAAAATGGTGAACGAATTTGAATGGATCGCCTCGCTTATATGATTTGATTTTCGGAATTAATAATTCAAATGGACAGAAACGTCGTCTTATGGGGTCGAATCGGCCGGGAGTAGCGAAAAATAGATAATAAAATGTATTGAAATGGCAGCGGGCCCGGCTTATCCTGTTGAAAGTCAATGAATATTTGATTTCAATTTTTTTCCCAACGTCGCCGTGAAGTATTCACGCCATACCTAATTTGATTTCGGCCGTTGGCTCGGGCAGTTTGCATTCATATTCAGCGCGAATACGCTCCGGGTTGCCTTTTGCCCGACTCTGATACAAATAAATAGCGGATATTTTTACATTACTTACCGGAATTACCCGTCCCAACTGATTACGGACGTTATAACTGGCGTCGCTTTGACGCAAATAATATCACATTGTTGCTTACATATTAATTAATAGTATTTTCTTAATTAATTTAGAAATATTTACACGTATTGCATAATCTGTTGATCCATATTTTTACTTTTAAAATACAGTTGTTTCCGTTTTTAGAGACTGTTGTGTTGCTGGAGGGATCGGAGTAAGAAAAAATCTTTGCAACTATTCTATCAAAATCGTGGCAAAAACGTTATTCTTCTCTAGATTTTTTTAAATTTTTTAATAAAAATACTTTAAAAAAGCTAATGGTAGATATAGGCCAACATGTAGGCGAATAACAACATCGCGGCTTTTTAATCCAGCGCAAATCAGACGGTATTTCATGTCTTCTTTTGTTCAAATAATTACAAAGTGAAGAGAACCTCAAACATCATCTAAATGACACGCAAAGGGCGTGAAAGTTAGAAGACAGATCGACGCCAACAAGACATTTTACGTCTTATACTATTGTGATAATACCTAAATTCGCTTGTCGCCAAATAAAAGAGAATCCGTTTCGCTAACTTGCATAAATGACGACGCAACGATATTTCACTGAGCTAAATATTTGGGTCAACCTGTTTTTGTGTAATGGAAATTACAGAAGTAAATTTTACATTGCATTTGTTGTAATCGCTAGGGACCTTTGTTAACAACAAAAGATGACCGTCCTTGATGCGGATTTGCGAGTTTTAATTAAAATCTTACGGTTTGGATAATTAAAACATCTGATTATATTATACACAGACTCACTAAAACGCACACTTTATTTCTACGGTTCAGGTGTTCGTGTTTAATACTAGGCAGTTGTAACGTGTGGCACTCTCTTGTTTTGTATTTGCCGTATATCATTTTAGATTATTATTCGACAGTTGTTTAATGTTTGGTGGAGAAAAAACTTTCACTTACCTCTGTGCCTATTTGTTTGTTTGTCGAACATAAGCATCGCATCTTCAATCTGAAACAATCAAACAGACAAAATTAAAATCAGTACATTACATGGGAAGTAGTGAAAAGCCGTTCGTCGCGCGATATGAGTCCCGCCCAGGCAATAAAACACTCCGCCGCTGTAATAACGAATAAGCACCGTACAGAGTAAACCACACGCTGAAAATAAACTTTGATAAGCGGGGGCGAGCAGGTAATAACGTATTCATAGAGAAATAAATGGAAAGTCGGCGGTTAGGACACGAACAATGCGAGCCGGCAGATGCGCTGTCACCGCTCATCTAACCGAACGCCATATTCGGCTGCGATTGTACATTTTAAAAACTCCCCGAGCGCGCACAAAAAGAAAAACGCGAAATTGTATTGTAATATTCATGTCGGATACGTTACATTGTTAAAGTTTCAGTAAGTCGCCCGAAGGATACACAATTTGTAGGTGTGCGTTAAAACAGGCGTTTGCAAAAAGTGGGCATAGTCTGGGCAGGTGGCCCCCAGGGCTTTGTCTCGGAGTCGCCGGATGGCCCAAGGGCGACATTACTCGCGTACCTCGACACAACACACCCCAGATGATCGATGTCGAATACCCGTAACAGGTGACCTCTCCCTGAATTATTCTTACCTGCAGAAACGTTTGTTTAGTGCTGATTTGTTTGAACATCGCTAAGGTTTTATTTACGCGACAACCCTTTTGTTATGAATGAATTTTTTCCGCGACATTTGGCGTAATCGAGTTAGGTTTTTCCTGTTTATGTTGTGTTAAATTAGTTATTCAAATTTGCGTGTGGCGAAATGTATGTACTTTTTTAGGTGAATTTTTATCTGGTCAACAATCAAGTATTGTTAAATAAAATGCTTCTAAATAAAACACGCCTCAGTATCTCAAATAAGACCGTTCTTACTTATTTTAACTTCAAACATTAAAAAGAAGTCCTTCAACAAAAGGGAAGTACAGTCATTACTATTGCACTCCTACGTAAGTTGAATAGCCAAGCTCCTAACATAATATAAATTTAATAAAAAAATAACAAGAAAGGCATTCTATTGTCGACTCGTACTCCTTTTAAACAACCTGTTTCTTAACTTTATTACTCGAGTACTTTCTCATTTTATATTTAATCCTATATTATCTTGTGACAGTGTTTTAGTTTAGTCATAAGTTACGTTAGTTGAAAGTTTAAGTGGTCGGTTGTTTCATACATCTTGTCGCCGATGCGGCTAATATGACGTAAAGTAAAATGATACCTCGGTGAATTGTCAACTTTGAGTCACGTGCCTTAAAATGACCCAAAATAAGTTTCGCCTTTATAGGGGACATACATGAACACATCTCTGCGTAATTTGACTCTTAATATTCCAACAGAGTGTGGAGCTTCTTTTGTTTTAATACACGCTGATATTTTCGCCAAATTATTGTTAGTTAGATCGTCAATTTTTTTTATTAATAACGCTAAAATTAATATGTTTCTGTGTTATGTTAATATGTGTAAAATAAAAGATATATAATGTGTAACGATTTAAGCGGCCATCTTCAAGCGGGATGAAGTCAATTACAAATGACAGGATGAATAGCCATCTAAACGTGCTATTCACTGGTGATGACGAAATTTCAAGAACTAATTCATAAAGACGCCAGTCTAAGCCCGAAACAGTGACACTACGCAAAGTATAATAAATGGAATCAATAATTCAAAATATTGTGTTTTTATGATGGAATGCAAGCCTTACTATCGAAACAAGATGGGCTATTGGCCTATTTTGGCTTTGGATAATGGAAAATCCATACTGAAATAAAAACACGATTAAACTTCATGGTTTTTTCATCTGTGGCTGAAGGTATGAGACCCGGACGGAATTTCGATATTCCTACCACTATTTAATATCATTTAATATATGTTCAGGCGACATCGAACATGTTTCAGAAAAATATAAACTAATTAAACATTTTGGACCCAGTGGAAATCGAACCGACGAACTGTTGGTACCCATACATTGCTACCATTACAGCAACGCGCCCGTCGAAGTGGTTTATCCAAGATGGATGATTACAAGCAATATCAATAAAGTCACACTTGTAACAATTTTCTGTAATGTCTGCTCATTCTTACTAAGCAGCCAGCTCCATTATTAAGCATTTTATTTAAGGGGAGAGTCCCGCCACGTCCCCGGAGGTACCTGTCGCATTAATTTGCGACGTAGGTACGCATTTAAGAGCTCCCACTAAACTTTAAAATTCCTTCGTTCCTTTGTCGCTTATAAGATTTGTTCGTTTCGCTTATACAGTGAATCATCATGTATGTATAAATATAAATTACTGTAAGTAATATGACATTATCTTGTATTTTGCCTTATCGTCTCTACAATTTTGAGTTGTGTATTTAAACAATTTCCACATACGCTAAATAGGTTTTTATTAAATTTAATACTATACTCTTAAAAGCTATTCGATATCATAGTCTATTTCAGTCAAAAGAAGATTATGTAAGAAGGTCGCTCTATTTAATATTCATAAACGTTATTTCAAATACGGTTTAAAACGCGAAATATATTATTTAAATCATATTAATTAGTTTTAACCAATAATTTATTTTAACTCGATGTTTCGGATGCTTATTGGCAGACGTGCTCAGTGGGACATTACATTATGTTGTAACGTAAGTATATACAAAATTTTGTAATTATTGATTAATTAATTTGTAAGTATATACAAAGTTATTGATTAAGTTCGTGATCCACGTTGAGTATTTATAAATCCGTTCAAAGCCAAGATATGCAGCGAAAACTCTCATATTTTATGAGAAACGTCAGAGGATCGATTTATTTGTTCATGTCTGCTAAAAAGTGGGGTTTCATGCAACAGTAAATAGAAATTCGCGAGTACACAGCCGATGAATTACGACCATCACATTCTGTACCGCAATCCATCAAACCCATGCGATATCGCTATTCGTGTACCAGCATTTGTCAGTGGAACTAATAACTGAACAAACGTTGCGCTGGCGTGTGGGATCTTTGGCCTTCGGACACACGGAACTTTCAGTTATTCTATAATCTACGGTACATATATAAAAAGTAAATTACAAGATAAAAATATTCATATTAATCCATTGTGAATATTAAAAACAAATTTTACAGTGTGTGATCCTTAACAGCTAACATTAACAACGAAATCTAGTTCTTTTCTTTCTTTAAAAAATATATATAAAATTACATGTACGTCAAGAGTTAAATATATGATTACGTAACAAGATACAATTCGTATGGCTTTTAGGTAAAAATGGAAAGGAATACTAATTCTTGTTTATTTCCTTAAGTTGTAGATTTGAAATGAGTATTAAAACAGACACAATGAATTAAAATGAGTTCATCTACACCTATTTTAATTCTTTGTGTCTGTTGTGTGGGCTGAAATGACTTGAGGGCTTGTCGATAAAATTACGCCATGCTTGCTTTTAGCTTATTTATTTAGCTATAGTTCTATAGTTATTAATAAATACATAATAATAAAATTAGAAGTTAATTTGTGCAAGACTTCATTGGGTGAATCCGAAGTCGAATCTTCGGTAGGACGTTTATAAGGGAAACGTAGAAGGCACGTGTGCGGTGACCTTTATAATTGTGACGCATTGATTCGTAAACAGTGCGTGCATGCTTAGATGCTGTAGAATTAATGCGGAATAGTTCAGTCTCTGAGGTATAATGTAACGTTATCAGTATTTAGCATTGCATATTATATATAGTGCTATTATTATAATTAGCTATATTGCGTTTGAGAACAATATAAAGGTTTTCTAATCACTTATATTTTGTTATAGTTTTAATTAATTTTCGGGCTGTTTGGCCGACGTAAGCGAGAAGTGGTTCTCTCCGTTTCGCCATCACGCGCGGACGGCATCATCAGATGTTAGCTCCTTGATTGCATGAAGAATTCTCGCGAAACGTCACAACACTAACAACAGCCAGAAAATCAATGATATGCTTTATGTAATTTGGTAAAATAAGTAAAATTCAAAAACGAAATATTTGATTTTTAAATCGTATATAATCAATTTAAACATAATATACTATTTAGAACAATTAATTATTTCCAACGTTGAAATTGCATTGTAAAATTATATAACATTCCATCTTCAACGAAAAGTCATAATTAAAATATTTGTCTCATTATTTCTACTGTTATTTTGTATTTTCATACAAATATTTTTTCATCACTAGAGGCGCTCCAAAGCGCTATCAATTATGGATAAAAAATAAGTAGGTCGCAATGAAATACCAATAAGATAAGTGCATTCAAGATATAAAATACACAAGTGTTTTTGATTATAGCATTTTTTTTTAATCCGCACTACATTAACAAGCGCAGGTAGCTAATAATTTCTTTATAAAATTATTTGAATGATACATAATTATGACTAGTTCTTAGTTTATCATAATACCGACTTCCTCCATACTTTATTAGCTAACCAATCGTAACCTTTCAATAATAAAACATATAATATAAACGTCTGATCAACTACTTGTCTGTAAATCTAAAATAAAACCTATTTAAATTAATACATACTGTCTGTAGTTTACGCGAGTAATGCACATTTAAATAAAACACTTTAACGGTTCAACGAGATATATAGTAGTTAAACTTTATTTTAAATCTCGGCCCAACGTTTCGTCTGCTGCACTAATATATATCGCGATTTATACCGTTAAAGTTTTATTTAAATAAAATACATTTTTCTCTAAAAACGTAATAACATTTTTCACATTCTCTTTAATTTATTCACTACTAGCGACCCCGCCTTCGCTCGGGTGCAATGCTGATACTAAATACTCTACAGAAAAACTGGGACCGTTGTATAAAAAATCACTCTATCTATTAAAAAATATCATCATCAAAATCCGTTGCGTAGTTTTAAAGATTTTACCTCGCATAGGGACAAAAAAAGCGACTTTATTTTTTACTATATAGTGTAGTAACTATTTAATATAATTTCTTACAGCATCAATTAGCTCCAGCTA